ACCTCTGCTCAATGTAACCTTAGTCGATGTCTTGACCGGCTGCACGTCGCTCAGTCGGGCCTTGACATTTCCGGTTCGAAAGCGTGAGAAGGCTAAGCAACGTTAGGAACATAGAGAACCACCCAGAGAAAATACAACTCACAACCGCGGGTGTTGTGCTCGGTGCTTTCGTCTTCGTCTTCGTCGTCGAAGTCAGAGGGAAAATGGTATTAACAACCGAATCGGAAAAGGAAATGATGACGATCACGAGACCAGTACCATCCAGCCCGTCAATGTTAACAACGACGCGTACGGAGGTGGAGGGTGCGCCAGGAAAATCCTTGACGACGATAAAATGGTGCTCAAAGGCACTTCAGCAAAGGAGAGAGAAATCAAGATGCTAGAGAAGGGAGGGAAGTGGGGATGAGTGGGATGATGAGAGAAAAGGTAGAACATACCTCGTATTTAAACATATCCCGTTGGCATGGGCACAAGGATATCACAAAATCAGTCCAACTATGGATGAGATGCCACGCCAATATCGGATCTTGAAATCCATGTCGCCCGAAATTTGGAAGATCCAAAATTGCAGATTGCGACGGTGGAATGAGTTTCCCATGTCGCTTGCAGTTTAGTGCTTCCGATAATACGGATAGCCCGATTCCTTGTCATGTTTGAGAGAACCGGAATCTGTCTTCCTCTTCCTCTCGATGCAGAACTGATGTCGCAATAGGATGAGTATGTAAACAAGAACAGCAGGAGGGAATACACACTCGAGAGAATTCCAACTTTCAAGTTCCAGATAGCCATTAGAGGGGACATACAATCACAGTATCAAACCTAGAAAAGACCGTGACAAGCCGCTTGTAGCAATTGTCGCTCGAGAGAAATGTCAGAGAGGCGGCTAAGGCTCGGTCAATGATTAATGATTATTGGTAGTATAAGACAGTCGTGATGTCAGCATCAAATAGAGGCGCAGGTGTCCACGGTGACCAGATCCGCTATTGAGAACCGCCTTGAATCAATGCTCAAAAAAGAAGGGGCAAAAAAAAAGTGTGACAGGTGTAACGTGTGGCGTGTGACAGTATCGCTGATTCACGGCATCCACGGCACAGGGAATTTTCGGACTCAGCATCACCATCATGCACCACCAAAAGGCTCAGGTTAGTAAAGCGAGTCCTGTATGCAGGACTCGGAATATAGACTGCTCTTCTCCCATCACCAACCTTTTGCCCGGATATAATATGCTACCTACTTCACCATCTTTCGGATACACAGGCTGTTCCAAAAACTTCTGTGAACACTGTGACGCGTCGACTCTTCGTGAAAACAAAAAGGAACGCCGCCGCAGTTAGATAGGCTCAACTCATGAACACCTTGTTGGCCGCTTTTCTTTCTTGGGCGACCAGCGAGGCTACTGCGCACTATGGGGTGCTTTCTAGTCTCTTTTCACTTCTCTATTGGAACCGCCTAAGCTGTCCAAGGTCATTGCTCCAGTCGATCTCCGTCTAGGATTTCTCACAGCAGCAAGTCCAAACATACTAGCATAGACAGGTACCAAGACGGCGTTTCGTGTAACAGGAAGTCTGCGTGTAGGCTTGCGCGACCACGGTCCCTAGGGCATGGGTATGGCGTTTCGGAGTGACACACGTGACGTGCGTCGACTCGGGTAGATGCAAAACTGGTTCGTTTATTCCCCCTCCCAGAGTCAGGCTTGCCAAGGAGCGCGAATATTGCCGTGTGGCCCTTCTACTTCTAGTCCGCTTGTAGGTGCAGCTTGATCTTGACACGGTTCAACCCTCAAACGTTATCAAAATGCCGCATATTGCCACGTTGCTTTCTCTTGACGACTTGGTGCCTTGATACTTGCTCGATGCCACTGAGTCTGCTGCTGCTGGGTCACAGATATATTTCGCTTGGTGCGACACAAATGAACGACCTAAGTAGTATAGAAGAGACACGAGATGGCAGAGGAGATATAAGGATACAAAAGAGTGCGCGGAAAATGAATAAAGAGCCTCCATTCTTGGGAAAGCGGGCGAAGGTCGAACTTGGTGGTTTAGGATAGGGCGGTGGCAAGCGAGTCTACACGAACGATAATATCAGGACGAGCGGCTCTGAGAAGTATGGTGGACTTACCACGACAGAAGTACGTCTGCATCCTATGCTGCTCGACGTCGGCTAATTTAAATAAGATCTGAGCTAGGAAAGATCTAATTGTCAACAATCTGGTGGGAAAGGCAGAAACCCATTGGAGCTCACCTTAACGCTCATGCAACGACGCACATGGTCCCAGGGAGCCCTGGGGTGGATTCCTCATTAACAGGTATCGAGATATCTGGCATCTCGATGAGAAATGGTACATCCTCTGGCACAATGACATCAGGCAGGGTGAGGGAGAGAAACTCGTCCATGGTACGGAGAACTGAAGGATAACGACACTAGCGGCCTTGCGCTGACTGGTGAGGGTGGGGAGTCTGGATATGGGGGTGAATAAAGAGCAACTTTCGTTTCCAAGTACGTTTTATTTGTGAATGCAAAGACAATGTCTTTGGAAGTGCTATTGTGTGCCCTTTTTAGGGATATTAGGTGCCGGGCCGGTGTGTCGGCGTACGAATTTACGTGAAGAGTCCTCCCTATCGAGCGAACAATGCTTTGCTTCCAGGTGGATTGGACGCGAAAGGAACAAAGACAGCACCAAGGAACCGATGAGATATATATGAGCGGCCCTATGGCCAAGTACTTAAATCGTTTCAATTATTTCCTGCTTAATTGTCTTGTTCTCAGCCTGTTTGTACACTCAAACTCAGCGGGGGCAATCGTAAGCTAACCTCGTTAGCTGGATGCGCTAGAGAAGGGCATCATAAACCGGAACCGGAAGACCGCAAGCATTGAAATCCCTTGATGTGCGCACATCAACGCCGAACAGATTTTTTTTCACCTATATCGAGCGAACAATGTGGCTTATCTGGTGGACCGACTCACGCATTTGGATCAAGAGAAAAAAAAGACGAAGGTTGTCTTTTTCTTCGGAGGCGACTGTAGTACACGAGATGCAGAAGTAACGGCTCTCAGAATAAGACTTTTGAAAACTCCTTTGACCCAAGGAATAAAGAACAAGACAAAGAGCCACCCAAGTGATATCATAGCTTGAATTCCTCGGACAACAAATTTCACGGCTAACAAAACAAGTACATTACGAAGGTAGGTATGAAGACGAATTTTCCTACTGCAAAAATACACATATGAATGAGAGATGATCAGAAAGGAACGAAGGCGCAGTAGCGAAGGCCAGGGCGGGAGATAGGGAGGCGGGAGAGGGAGAGGGAGCGGTGTGGTTTTATGCGGTGGCAGGTGCTGCTCGCAGCTTAGTTTCGTCCTTGCTATATGTCCATCAGTCAAGTCTCCCCAGGTCAGTAGAGCAAACAGGACGTACAAAGGACTCTGCGTAAAGCAGGGGTCTAAGCAATGACGCAACCCTCACCGTGGGCAGAGTACGTCGACTCGCGTTCGGTGTCAACTGGTGGGAACTCGAGGGAGAAAGGCTCTAGGCCTGAGAGAGTGATATCGAGAGTGTCCATTGGAAAGAGAATGGTTTTCGCTGGGACAGAGGCTATGGTTTAACTTCACGCGCAGAGGTATCGCTTTTCCAGCAAGCAGAGATGAGTGGTGTGGTTTAAGTAGTAGCAGTGGCTGGCTGACTTAAGTATCCGAATAAAACAAAGAGTAGAGCATTGTTCGTGCCGGGTTATTGTTAACCGGATTTGGATAAGTGAACTTCTTCGAAGACAAGTCTGACGTCGCGCTGATATGGGAGTGAGCACTACAGCGCTACCAGGGAGGTAGAAGACCAGAGAGAATCGTCAAAGAAACAGATACTACGTATATCGCAGTTATAGTGTACAAAAATTATCTGCGTACAGGTACTTCAGGAGATCAGCTAAAACAGGTACCCATTTGACACACACCTAGTTGTCTCTCCATCTCCCAGTACTTTTATGCATCCTTATAGGTGTACCTGCATCTACTCGTACTTGTTGCTGTACTGTAACAAGCCGTTCACAAGTACTTTTTGAGAACGTCCGTGTTGGGTCCGCAAAGATCCGGGCATTGCCGAGACGTCGAACCTGCCGCTGATGGCGCATTCACACCAAGCCTAGAACTTGTATGGATAATATAAGTCCATGCCAATGCAGTAGCACCCTCGGAATATATATAATAATCAATGACTATACAAGAATGTTTTAGCAAAATAGAAAAGAAGTTTACAAAACTCGGAATTTCGCTTCCAGTCAACTTCCAGTACAAAGCCAGACCCAAAATCTCGGACGTGTGGTCGCGGAAATGCAAGGCGAAACGTCAATTGTGAGTAAGCGGCAGAGGTTTAATTAAAGACGTCCATAGGAACAAGATTTGCGCACGCAAATCAATGGAGCTTCAAAAGAGGAGGGAAATCGGAGAGGTAAGAACGAAAATTTCAAGATTTTTGCGAGTGGGCTGGAAATATGTGCAAACAATGATGTGCCCGCGGCCACGGATAATGCAAGCGGCGAGGGGTTTGTCGTTGAGTGATAGTGTCCATCGGGATCTGTAAATGTACTTGCGAACTTGAAGTAGTGGCGGATCACTAAGTGGTTGCAAATTGAGACACATGTATCGCTCAAACGGGAAGTGGCTGTGTGAGCCTAACCCTGACGGTGAACAAGCACCAGCATCGAAAGTAGTGCTGGGAACCATCAAAAGTAGTGGTGTCCTCCCTACTGAACAAAAGAATTTTTGTACAGTATAACGCCCATATACGTAGGTCCCATCTACAATGCTGAGAAGCGCTGAATCTGAGCAAGTGGTTGCACCGAGTCTTACGAATCATCAGACTTTGGCTGTGTCAGCCGGCCGAAGTTTTAGATCGGCATACCCGGCATGGCATGCTGCCTAAATCGGAATCAATCGAGGTTACTCAATTCACAGTTGTTCACAAATCAGTCGTTCACGACTGAATTTATATCAAACGAACACTATGTATTCGTAATTCGAAACACGCCTGTTTTTACATGCAGCGTCGGTCCCAACATCGCTCGACGACTGAACCCAAAGGAAAGAGAAAAAAAAAGGAGCGGTAATACTACAAATTGATTTGAACTTTCCATAAAATAGCGAAGGAATTATGAGTAAGCAAATAAATGCGCTCAAATAACTGGATTTGAAAAACGAGAGTTGGGAGCCGGAGGATACAAGTTCCTCGCGAGGTAAGTAGGTATGGGTTGAGAAGCTGGTCTCGGGTGGAAATCATCGGAGAAATTTGAATGGCGATACGCGTTGGATACTACGATGAGGTCTTCGTCTTCTTCGTCGGCAGTCACCGCGTTGTACGTTGAATGTCCATAGGTGCTATCAATGTCTGGCAGAGAGGTAGGCGTTGGAGGCCGCGGGGTAGGTGGGAGGGGGTACTTCTCATCTTTGGGGAATGAACGCGCCGAAGACAACCGGTACGAGGGAGGCGCTGTAGATGAAGGAGATGAGGGTGACAGATTCTCCTCCTTGTACGTCCCGAGTGCAATAGCGACATCGATGGATTCGGGTCGTTTTTGTACATGGGCAAAGGCGGGAGAGGCTTCTTCGTCGGTGTTGGTGGAGCCTTCTGCCATCTTAAAAAAAAACAAACAAGTCAGAGGCCGGGCAAACGGGGAGGAGGGTCATATGGCTTACCCTGCTACGACTTTGGCTCTCGAGGGAGCAGGCTTGAAGCCGAACCAACCGGAAACTTTCCAGAACGCCAGGCGGTACTGTTTCTTTGCCTCGCTTGCAAAACCGAAGAGGGCAAAGAAAAGGAAAGCGCAGAAGACGGATAACCACCGGGTGAGCTCAACGGCAACCTCATAGCCATAATCGCCGCGCCAAATGAGCGCTGGGATTTGATCTACGCGTGAAAAACCATAGTGCGTGTCTGCCCAGGATACCCAGGGCGCGAGCCGGACACCTTTAGAGCCGATGTATATCACATATATGCCTAGGGGGAGCGCGAAGAGCATGTTGACCAAAGCAAGAATCATGAGCCGCAGGTAGCGGCTGGTGTTCATGGAGGAGTTGCTCTGGGAGGATATGAGCGTGGCGAATTCGGCGCGACGGCGGAAGAAAGAGCGGAGAGTCAGTGCGGCGTAGATGAATGAGGCGACTGCGAGGAGAAGGGGCCACATGAACCAGAGGAAGTAGGCTGGGAGGGTGTTGTACGTAACGGGGTAGCATCCGATGTTTTCGAGGATGTCGAAGCGGTGGGGGTGCACGACTATGTCTGTGGGCCGGGGCTTTTAGTTGGTGCCTGTTGGACAGAGATGGCTGTGGGTGCTTACGTAGGATGAGAGCGAGGATGGGAATCCCGACAGCTACACAAAGGTCTTCGATGATCCCCCGACGTTTCTGAAAGAAATGATTTGAGTCAGCCATGTCGTGAAAGTCATTCAGTTGCGCCACTCACGTCTTCGCGAGTCACAGAGACTGTGCGGATGCAAGTGATCTTGTAGAGTCTGCGACTTATGCAGAGGGCTGATGCGTTCACGCCGATCCCATATCCTAGGATAATTTGTGCAGCTACGAACAATATAAATGAAAGGTCAAAGGAAAATTAGGCTGGCACTTACTGATATCACACCACACGGGGGCGACGTTATCGACGTTTCCCTGCCATATGAGAGCGTTGATGAACTCGACGAGACAAACTGTGGCGGTCCATATCATGAAGGCGCAGGTGCCGGCGTTCCATGCTTGCCAGTGCCAGGGTAGAGGAATAAGGCAGAGAATGAAACTCAGGAAGGCAAAGACCGGGTAAAGAGGGTAGTAGATATCCATAGTAGGGGTATCGCGCGAGGAGAAGGGGGTTCTTCCATCTTGATAGTTTTCTTTATAAGGGATCCTCTTTCATAAGACAATGGGGAAAAAAAGTACAATGGGTGACGTCACGCGTTGGGCAGCAAATATGTGTAAATATTATTTCATTTTTCGGGTTTTGTTTCTCAATTTCATTTCTTTTTGTACCTGCATTAACGATGAAGGGTCCTCCTGCAGGCCTCTCCTCCCAGTTCGTTAATGGTCGACTCGGATAATCCGATTCGTTTCTATGGGTGTATGAAATGGTTATCAGCTTCACTTTCCTTACTAGTCGGTAGTCCCGGTCAACCGCAGCAGTTTGGTCAACTAAACGTCGTTTGCTCTCCGATTTGAACGCGTTAGTCCACACAACTTGAAGCTGAAAACAGACACAGAGCCTTCTGATTTCCCCTTCCGCTGACCAGGGAACGTATTCAGGAATCCGCAGTTTGACTACTTCGTCCTTGACCGGGAGCCCACTGCCACCCAGGTCCTTGACCTTACCACCCCTCCCTGCGACTTTGAGCGTCAAGCCACGATTCATTCAGGGAACTGCGTCATCGCATAGGCCCGAATCTGCAGTTGGTGAGGGACACTCACTATATATTGCGCCTCTAACACCGCTACTAGAACTATCATGTCCCAGGAGGGGGATTTTTATCTCATTTTCGCCTTGTTTTTTTGCCAGTGTATTCTTATGCCTTTTCGTTTTCTTCCGTGCGTGGACTTATGGAGCGTACTACTTACTACTCGTTCTTTGGTGTTACTCGTTATTTTCCTTGTGTTTCAATAGACCATGGCATAACTCGCAAAGATACAGGTATTGCCACCCCGTTAATGCCGAGTACCACATCCACACCCATACTCATGGTTCACATCCACCCTAGTGGTCGACTAACCACCTCGCTATAGCCACGAAGCCTGAGATCAGAGAACATAGACCCACCGCCATCTGTAAAAATTTCTGCGCCCTCTACTTGGACGTCCGAAATGCAGGGGACCCGGGAACTGCCATCGCTCCCGAATAAAGTAGAATTAGACTCACCGGCGAAACGAAAAAGATACGCCCCACGGCAAAATCACGGGATATAAGTAGTATCCTTTGAACAGGGTGGAATTTCGAACTTGTCCGGTCCTGAATAAGATGGAAACAATTTTCATCGACGCTGGGTCGAGAGCGACTCTCCCTGTCGGAAATGATTGCTGTTGTAAAAAACTGCGGAATTCCGGGTTCGAAGTCCTCCGTCACGGTCATGGATATGCCTGGCAAAATTGAGAAGCTCAGCCGTCGTTTCCTATCACTCTAACACGTCTCCGCATAAAGAACACCTCAGGCCCCTGATTTGGGTGCGATACGGATGAGGACCTCGAACTTTGTCGAGCAACCTACTTTACCTGACAATTCCTCCTCCGAGTCAAACCCCTGCATTTAGGACATAAAGGAAATGATTAATGAGGATCATTGCTCCCGCGTGCTACTGTAGTTTCAAATTCAGGTGGTAAATGGACTATAGCGGATTCTGGAGCCGGGGAACCATTATCGCTGTCTTGGGCTATCCGACTTTGCGCTGTATGGAATGCCATTGGAGACTCGGATGTACCGCCGAGCTGCCAGTGACTTATCCGGCCAGCTGAACGTAACGAAGAAGTGATTCTAACAAGTACGCGAAGTCGTTGGATTTGTGTATTATCCCTGATCGAACGATCTAAGATTGATCTACCTTATGCTGACCCTGAGATTAAATATTCGTATTCGCAAAGGAGAGAGTATCGTTCATTTCGTGCAACCTGGAATTGCAAGCCGGTCGTGTTTCGCGCGTCGTGCTGCGAGGGTGCGGACCTAGGCTGTGCGGCCTCAGGGTGCATTCATATGCAGGAGAGGGCAATCGGTAGATTCGGTACTGTTTCTGCTTTCAAAGTGGGAGGGGGTGAGTGTAGAAATCACGAGGGCACTCGAGTATATTACGATATCGACGCCCGGGTCCCAGGCTTGGAGGAAACCCATTTGGGTGGGGTGGGTGGGGGGAGGATGCGGGTGTTGGATCCGAATGGCGGCGGGAGGGAGCCATGTAGAGTGAACATCGCGAGCGGGATATGGTGGAGGCGCGTAGTCGAGCGTTTGAGTTCCCGTGCGACGGTGAGCTCGGCGTTCGGTCCACAGGATAGCGGCAAGTCGAGTGGTTGGGAGGAACGAACAAGTAGTCGAGCCGCAACTGAGCGCGCGGCGTTGTAGAAGGCGAAGATTGGGATTGGAGTTTGAGTTTGAGCAGTGCAGCGATCACTGTAGAGTGGATCTGCTCTGTGGTGAAGAGCCCTGATACCTGCGCGCGCGCCCTTCTAATGCAAGAAGACCCGCAATCCGTGGTTGCCGTATGATGAGGAGGGTGTGGGAAAAGGATCGCGTTCTATGTTTGGAGGCGTCGAGAGTAGTGTCGGAGGGTCCGCGAAGCTCTGTGGGCGAGTCTCATCGAAGACAGGTAGGGGTATAAACGGGGTTGTCCGCCGGGCGCTGCTTTGAACCGAACTGAGGGCGGTGCGGACGGCCGCCATTATATTTCTGTGGAGCCATTATCTTTCTGTGGGAGAAGTTCACGAGACGGAGAGTGGGAGAAGGTCAAAGTGCCCGCACAACTCTAGTCGGCGCCAACATCAGTGAATACGGTTCAGTCGGGATGATGTGACAGTGTACCCATGCCGTCCCCGACATACACATTGGTTATCTTCCCTAGCTCCAACGCACGTCTGTTGATCTCCACTCTTTGACTTATGAGACGCCGATACAAGGTAGCGGCGCAAAAACTTGCCCCGCACCCGAAAGCACAGGTCTACCCAACGACGACGTTGCGGGAAGGAGGCCGAGTTGCGGAGTGGAGGGGGCATATCTCGGAATGGGCCTCAGGCTGGGTGTGCATGGGGTGGTAGAGGCGCGGGGTTTGGTTGTATGCTCGAGAAGGCGGTTCGGTTGAGAGTATCCACCATAGAGATCGACTGTTGCGTAGGTTCTCGGTGCTATCCACCCATCGCCGACACTCCTCCTGCCATCGGAGAGGGTATTAGACCGTACCGGCTCTCAGCACAAGGGCCAATACGCCCTTTCTCCTATTACGCCGCGTTCCAGCGCCCCTTGCCATAACCGCGTCTCTTCTCAGAACGACGCACACCAGGACACGTACTTACGACGCGTCACAAGGCCCGCGAGTTCTCGTGGTCATGGTAGTAGACATCCATGGGACGTATCTCGCGAGTCGGTTCCATCTCTTGCATAAGAAATGTCTTTTCACAAGCAGAGAACGGACTCGGAAAATAAGGCTAAGGGAAAAAGTACGATGACAAAATTTCGGCCCGAGTCCCGTGCTAGCCTCAGGTTTCTTTGTGACTTCCCAGTCCCTCCGCTGCGCCGTGACCGGATCCTAGCTTCACCTTCCGGTAGCAGTCTGAGTCAACCAACGCGTTAGACGCGCCACCGATGATAGTCCAATGAATAGTAAATTATGTTCTTCGACGTGTGGCGCTCCTCACGGCGGACTTGGATCCCACACCTGCAAGAACCATGGTAGTACTCACCCTCGCGCCGAGGTAAAAAAAAAGCCTCATTATTTAACTAACTTCTGGGCCTATGGCGTCCCTCGAAGACTCGGAGACGACGCCGTATCCCGATTGTCTACGAGCAAAAAAAAAAAAAAAGAGTCGCTTCCCGCCATAGTACCAAGCATCGTAGACTCAGAGCGGGTTTTCAATGCGTAAGAAACTTGAAGCACGAGTTTGTTTAGAGGGTCCGAACTCAATGTCGAGAGGGCGGTGGGTCTTGATTCTTGCATAGTCGCTCCTTGAAGTTTTCGACGGAACGCAATACAAAACTCTGTTGAAATTTTTACCTGTGGTTTCTGGTAATACAGTGGGGTATAAAAGAAAATGAAGGTAGTATATGAAAGAAAGGTGAGTGGAGTTGGAAACAAACGCGCGCGGGGGCGCACTGTCAAAGTGCCCGCAAGTGGGGAGGATGAGTGACGGTGGGAGGCAAATAAAAGGTGGCACGGACGTACGATACCGATACTAAGTCTAGTGGGAGGGGTAACGCAGTTTGAAGGAGAAGGAGAAGTAAGGACAGTAGAATTTGGCGTTCTTGTAATGGGGTTGTGTCTATGAGGTGTCGTCAGTTAGTAGACGCTACAGTAGAGGACTGGAAGACGCACGAGAAGACGAAGTGATAATTTATTCAAGTAGGCTCGACCGGTTTTATCATAATTCTGGGAGCAAGGTCTAGGATCTAAGAACACACAATGATGAGAGCGGGGAGAAGGGGGGAGGGGAAGACGAACCAAGCAACGACGCAGAAACTCCCGTAGTCGTTGATGGGGCGGTCCCCGTCAACGGGGACGACCATAGTTGGTGGGTCACCGGAACTTAAAGGCTCTTCAAGTTCAAGTTCGAGGGCGATTGAGAGTTCGCTGTCGAGCGAGAGGAAGGCGAATTCGTCCATGGGTAGGAGGGAGGTGATAATTGAGGGAAGGAGGCTATGGTAGGGGGGTTACGCGTGCGTGTGTTGGTTGGTGGCTCATAATATTTGGGCATCCGGTGCTTTATAGCGGTCGTGTGTGTTATTGTTCTTGGATGTGCATTGTTGGACCATTCGGGGTGGGTGGGTGTCACGTGGGAAACTTGAATTTGGTGGTTAAAGTTGCATTGTTCGCTGTCAGCAGTGTCTTGACTCTCGGACGCCTCGCAGTAACCGGTTACCGGTCGGTCCCAACCTGCATATTGATGTTGGCGTTGCGTTGCTGAGGTGTCCCTGCACTGGCAGCTTGTCAAGTTCTGTCGTCTTTGTGCTCTTTCCCCGGTGGCCGTCCTCTACCTGGACGCTGGCATTACTTCAATAAGTACCCTGCGTCAATGTCTTGTCTCCTACGCTCGTTCAACCCTCAGGCTGTCAGGTAGCCGTAGCAAGCCACCCGGTCCGGTCGAACTTGAAATCTGCAGGGTTCAATATCAACGTCTTTGCGACTCTGGCTTGGATGTCGGATCTCATTCAAACGTTGCCTCGACGGAGAACCTGTTTTCATGCATTCCTTGTTAGAACATAGGGGGAGGGTCAAGTCGCGTTACGGGGAACGTTGCTTCAGGGACATGGATATACCGAGAACACCGACGTTCTTGTTTTTTTTGTTTTTTCAGCTAGGATATTATTTGTGCTAGGAACGAATGGAGGAAGGCTGATATCTTTTAGTATCTAGTACAAAATTCGATGCGACGAGCCTTACTTACCCTCGAAATAGGAAAGAGAATTTATTTGGATATTCCTGCTCACAGAGTCGCAACTGTTCCGCCTTCGTGAATAGGGGGAGGGTTGTGAGCACTGAAAATGCAGCTCCCTCCCACCGTTACCCTGATATATTCAATTAGCACAGTAAGGACTTAGTGTCCAGTATTGCCGATGATAACGAGAAGGAACAATGGGATACCCGAATGCGGAAGTAGGTCTTCCTCTTTCGGTGAAGAGTTGAAACTCCGCATTGTCCTTGCTGAAAGACAATGGGGGCCTTTATAATGGAGGCGAGGAGGGATGGCTGCGTTTCTTTTCGTTCGACAGACAAGGCCTCCCTCTCTTGTTCCCTCTTTTTTTTCGTGCGGTACTTATCATGTCCGACCCAACTTACCCGCTCTTTACCGTCTTTGCGTTCTTTGGGTTCATCCTCCCTCTCATCCCTTTGCCATGGCACCTCCTCGCGTACAATTCGGGGACGTGTTACTTTATTATGTGGTCTTCCATCGCTAGCCTCAATCAGTTTGTGAATTCCATCGTCTGGAAGGGGAATGTGACGAACTGGGCACCGATATGGTGCGATATATGTGAGTCTCTTTCGGATATTCTAGTCGTAGCCATCAAACTCAAATTTTTTTTTATCAGCCATCCGCATCATGATTGGTGCTTCTGTTGGTATTCCAGCTTCGTCTTTATGCATCAACCGACGTCTGTACCATATCGCCAGTGTGCGTGCCGTATCGGTTACGCGTGCAGAGGTATGTGGCGACCGCTCCATCCTCTTTGACTCGCTAACACACGCTGTTCTCACAGAAACGCCGTGCCATTCTCATCGACACTCTCATCTGCGTTCTGTTTCCCGTGCTCTTTATTGCCCTACGTGAGCCACGTCTCGTCTTTTTACGCGCCGACTCTTTGCCTCACGCGTTTTGACAGAATATGTCATCCAAGGACATCGATTCAATCTATATGAAGATGTCGGGTGCTATCCCGCCTTGTACAACACCGCTCTCGCCTATGTCCTCAATAGCATGTGGCCGGTCATCCTCGGGCTCATTTCCGCCACTTACTGCAGTACGTACCGTCTCCTTCCCTTTCATCGCTCCTCCCTTATCACCCTTTCATAGTTCTAACCCTCCGAGCATTCAACCGCCGACGCGTGGAATTCAGCCAATTCCTCTCCACGAACAAATCCCTCACACTCGGACGCTACTTTCGGCTCATGGCGCTCGCAACGACGGAAATCTGCTGCACGACCCCTCTAGGGATTGCTATGATCATCATCAGTGCCACTGCGACACCCGTGGGTCCCTGGCGCAGCTGGGCGGACACGCATTATAATTTCGGTGCAGTCAGGCAGATTCCCGCCCTGTTTTGGCGCGCGAGCCCTTTGGTTGTTGCCGGTATCGAGGCGACGCGGTGGGTAACGGTTCTGGCTTCATGGGTATTCTTTGCCTTCTTTGGGTTCGCGAGCGAGGCGAGGAAACACTATGCCAAAACGTTCTGGGCTGTCGTGGGCCTATTTGGCGTAGAGAAACCTCAGCCGCAGATCAAGAACAAGATGATGCCGATGAGCATAAATGTTCATACCAAGTCTTCGTGAGTGGCTTCTGTTCCCCATCTGTTGCAACTTTGCTGAAGTTGATTGTTCTGTTTTGAAGACAATCGGGCAAACCGCGTCCGCCTACTCCCTCGAGTCCTCCGCCGTACTCACCTGGATCTACGCTGGACACAAAGGTGCCGGAGTACGATGACTTGGAGTTGGATATGAAAAAAATGCCGCCTTCTCCTTCGGGCAAGTCGATATGCGGGTCAATGACTGCCGGAGGTACCTCGATATGTAATTTATCGACTGTGGGTTCTACGGCATCCCTCGTTGGGGAGGTGTCCTCAACTGTGGGAGAGACGAATTCTCTACATTCTTATACAAGTGAACGGCATCCCAGATTCCATGCTATATAGTTTCAATACCAATGCAATGTACTTCTATGCAGATATAACTTCGATCTTCTTTCAATGTATTGCGTACCTACAATAAGTTGTTTTTCGCTTCAAATATATCAATCAATGTTACTTTTTTACCATTGTGGAAAACTTCAAAAAAAGAACAAATTTCCTTACATCGACATACGTTTTGGGTAGAGGCTAGGCAGGCTAGGCCTTGTATACGCGGAACGCCATCTTCGACATTTTTTTGAACAGAATTTTTTTTGCGGATATAAAGTGGCTGGCAAAGTCGTGCCGGATCCGGCGGCCGTCTTTGGACAATACTTTGTTACAATGACTACAATGCACGCCATGCCCATTGTTCGCCCTCCTTGTCTTTGAATATGCTACCCGAGCACCATTGTCTCACAGAACCGGAACAAATGCACTACTTGGCTACTTAAGCATGTAAACAGCCACTCCAGTCTACCAGTTACCTTTTTTTTTCGCGCCCAACCTTAGCATCGCCCCTCTACTCGCTCCCTACCCAAATCCGCCCAGCTACCATGGACAACTTTGAACTTGAACTTGAGCTCGAGATTAGCAACATGCTTGCCCTTGCGGAACGCGTCTCCGTGGCTGCCTCCGTTGAGCTAGGCGAAGTTCCCTGCGTGGACGGGGAACGCTATGATTCGGGCGTTGCCTCCTCGTTTTGCGTTATTGCTTGTATGTTTTCTGCTTGACTTTCATTTCGCGCATACTAACAGGGCGGTTTGATAGGATGCCGATAAGGTTATTTTGCTCCCAAGTATTGGTCGAGCCTGCATAAATTATCCCTTCGTCTTCTCGTGCGTTTTTTTCGACCTACCTGTTTCATGCCTGACTGACCTGTTTCACGGCAGAAAACCCATTTTTCCAGAACGCCAAATTCAACTGTCTTTACTTCTGTGTCAAATTGCGTTATAGCTCCTAGAATTATCGTACGCTGTTCCTCTGATCTTGATACTACGCCGGTCGCTGACGCATTAATACAGGCACTTTGACAGTGTGCGTGTCGTTTGACTTATTTCCTGTGATACCCTCTCCACGGTGAACCCTGCCTATCATTTCCTTGATTACATTGCATTCTTTTTTTTTTTACCTTACATTTTTCTCCCCCATTTTTCTCGCGCTGCATATACTCCGTTGTATTACCAGAACACAGGGACTTAGAGAGAAATTCAAATTTTTGTATTGCGTTCGAGGATTAGGGCGAGGACGGCGCCAAGACGACTGCTATGACTTTGAGCCCGGAGGCAGTAGCAAAAGACGGCTGCGAAATTCAAGAATATGAGAACAAGAGGAAGCCGGTCTATTGGCGGAATCTCCACCTCTGCTTTCTCGAAATTATGCCAATAGACTCCGATTTCCTAGTCATAGAGACGAGTCAGTAGTACTGCCCGGAGGTGAGTGTGACGGAGCTCAAAATAATGATAAAGCGGAAGACTCGCGAAGGGCAACGCGCATTGCCTGATTTCACAATCAGGCTGGTGTGAAGAACGAAGGATAACTCAAGGGTACTAGTAAGGCTCCCATATTTGTAGGATCATCGGGCGACTAAAATTTCGTAACTATTCATAATCCCATCTTTGGATTAACGCTAGGTAAACTCAGGTCAACTTGAATGGGGGTCTATGGGGGTTCGAAATGATAATTACTATGAAGATGATACATGAGACTCTGTTCAGCGAGCCAGACGAGCCCATTGTGTCGTCTCAGTCAAAGACCGAGGGCTCCAGGGGAGACTTGAGGGGCTAGTCGCGTCACGTCGCGTCGCACCTGCAGCTCCTGACAGTGATAAGTACTCCTGACAGGGGCAGCATTTGAGTCACGTGGTGGTTTCTCTTCTCAGCACCACATTGGCAACTGGCACCGACAAACCCAATTTACCCAAAACAAACAGGTTCTTTTCTTACCACATCTTGTCGTCCCACCATGTCGTCGATCTCTGAAGCCACCACTGAAACTGAGCCCAACGACCTCACCCCGACACCCAAAGACCTCGTCCCGACGCCCAAAGAACTGTTGCAACGCATCAACGGTCTGACTGTGAGTGCCGCATTGCCAAGATGTCACCCGTTTTGCAGTATCGTTGATACTCTCTGCTAGCCTCGCAAAGAAGACATCGACGAGGCGTCCCGGCTCGCTCCTCAAGGCACGGTACTGTACTGCGATCGGTACGATGCGCCCCGCATTTTCAAGTACATCCCCACATTTCCTGGGCTCCCAAGCGACATCCTCATTGGAGGCGATTATGTCTATTTCTACGGGTTTGCTACGACTCAGGAAACCCTCCAGAGCATCTTTTTCAAGCATAGTCATATGGTTGGACGGTGTACCAGCTCTTCACTATTGATCCACGCTGCTCTCGGACTCCATATCCTCCAAAGGAAACTTGTTCGTTATGAGGACACGCACTTTGTCAACGGTCAAGTTGATGATCTAGCCATGCAGGAACCTGGTTTGATCGTAGACATCGATGGGAAAAAGATGCTGAGGATAGTTGCGGTGGCTTGCACCCAGAACATGAAGTTTTTCTACAGGCGGCCTTCGCTGAAGCAAATGCGATTATTCCAGAAGCATTTAGGATGCGAACCCAGGTGGTTCAAGGATGTTGTTCCCAGTAGTGAATTTTATGGGTGGAGTGAGGAGTGTGAGTCGTCTCCCCAGTTGCTGTATAGTTGTTTCCTTAATGATTTGTAGGATTGTGATCAGATTCTGGTGGGAGCCTCCATGTGAGGACTATCTTCGCTCGGATGCATATAGTGTCTTATACGTCGATGTTTTTACTTGCCCCTCGAGAATCTTAATTATGAGCATTGATCGGCCCATCCACTTGCATCATCCCGACTTCCTAGGCGACCGAGGCGTTTAGGATCTTCGAGATGTCTTGCTGGAACTACATCCCTTGGATAAAGCCTGGCTGGCCGTTGCCTTCGGCGAACCCTTATATCGTTCACTTGCCCACTGCAAGGATTTAAACATGCTACGCCGCGCGCTTATCTGATTGGCCTCGTCAATGTTATGGCATTGGAAGCATACCATTCCCCCTCACGTGTACACAAAGCATTTGGTCATAACCTCTACCGACTACTGACCACGATAAACTAGGAACCAGTCGAAGCAGTACATCCTGATCAACGGTCTAGCGATTCTTTCTAACTCTAGTCTTCTTTTCCTGTGGTTTGGGCTGATGCCCCACTGGCACGCTGCATTTCATCAAATCCGGCAGTTATTCGTGGCACATTGGTCGAATAGCTCAATAGAGGCGTTGAGAAGTGTCATTATTCATCCGTCGTGGAAGCGAGCAGACTTTCACCTATACTTTGAAACTGCCTGCAGAGACACCGTGCAAGAATCTCATTTGACGTGACTGTTGCCTTGATTATTCACCACGAATGGGGTGACAAAATCACGAATCCCCAGCATAACCAAAGATCATTTATGTAGTTACTCTTTGCTCGATGGTGACTTTCTGGGCAACACGAAATCTGTGTTGTTTGCGGGCCGCGCTCTAAGCAAGGAAGCGTCTACGCCCCTAGGACTGTCTTTCCGATAAGTAGAACCTTGAAGGGTCGGAGCAAGTTGCAGGTCCACTTTCGTTTCTCTTTCCGTCTATTTCCTACTCTCACAACTTGGATAGACATGACTGGCGGCAGTAGTAGTGTTGATATCGATGCCGGAAATAGTGACCTGGATGACAATTTTAGATATCCTTTTGAAGATGGCAGCGGTCTCGATTCAGACGTGAATCCAGAGAATGAAGGGTGCGTGGATGCTCAAGTCGGTGGGGATTACGCAACTCCAGTGTAACCGGCACATCGGCGGTCGTTTCTACGTATGTGGCACTCTCTTCAGTTGACGCAGTGACGATTGCTCCTACTCAAGTGGAAAAATTGGAAGCGAGTTTCAAGAGTCTCTGGGGTCAAACTATCTTAGAGCTCAATCGGTTCGACACGCTGGTACTAAATAGTGGACTCGACTAGGCCAACTTAAAAAATTCCAACTATTTCTCGAGAACTTGGAGATGATGGGTATTAATTTTAAATATGGTCAGGGTGTTTGACGTCTGCCTGTCCCTTCAGGGCTGCATGAATTTCTCCGACCACAAAGGGGTTCCGATTTGTATATGGTGAAAACCTGGTGTTAGGATCCGCTGACGAGTTCAGTATCATTCCAATAATCCAGTGTTAGCAATGCCAATGAATGGAGTCAGCGCCGATATCTGATTAGACTTGCAAATAAGTGAATAACATAATTAGTAAACGTCAGGACGGACCAAATGCTCTGAAATATGGCATCGGAAACGACTGGATAAAGTTTGGGCAAAGTAGGACAAAGTACAGGCTCAGAGCAAGTGATCGGCAATCTAGGAACAGGCGGGTGCACAAATCAGGGTCCAGCAATTTGTCGCGAGTCTAGCTATATTTGATATTTATTCATCCCTTCAAGGATTATACTCGATTTCTGTATTTGAGGGAGTCAGGGTCCTTTGAAGCCTTGAACAAAGTAACTGCCGAGCTAGGTGTCGTCCGGCATTTTCCGAGGGCTCCATCAGCCCGGCGTGTCCCCATTAGGCTCACAATCAGTGGACCATTGTTCTCTCCGTCTTTGTTTCTATTCTTATAACAAACGCACCATGAAAAAAAGAAAAGTTCCTTCCTCCTTCTTTCACCGTATCCTTCTCTTCCACCAATGCATCGCGAATTCGCTCCTGTTGCGTTTCTCGCTGCTCTGTCCCTCGTTCTCCCTCTGCCATGGCACTGGCGCGTAGGTAACGTCGCCACGCTATCTATTATATGTTGGTTGTTCGTTATGAACATGGTTTATGGCGTGGACGCGCTGGTGTGGGCCAATAATGTTGAAGTCGTCGTGCCGGTGTGGTGTGATATCAGTAAGTCGAGTCTTCTCAGCTGGTGGGGTGAAAGAAGAAAGCTGACGTTTACTTTGTGTAGCCACAAAATTGATCATTGGTGCAAATGTTGCGCTACCGGCTGCCTGTTTGTGTATATGTATCCATCTCGAGCAGGTCGCGTCTGTGAGGAATGCGCAGACGACGATTGCCGATAAAAAGAGGAGGAGGATTTTCGAGTTGGGGATGTGCT